TAAACTTCAAATCTGTCCCCTAGCACTCAACAACTCTATTCCAGAGCACTTATCTCACTGCACAGTTTGTGTACACCTCTGCCCCTCGGCTGGCTTGTCCACGGGGGCAACAACTGACATTAATTTTCATATTCCCAACACCTAATTTGCACATAGGAAGCATTCAGTAAATGTTTTTGCAAAGAATGACTTAACTTTCATCTCCCATCCTTCTTAATATGTTTTACGGCTTGATTTATCCTATCTAATAAAAGAGTGATGTGCAAATTGACCATCACTCCAACACACAAAGATGGCCGCCCCCATGTGGACACAAGATGACCAGCAGGGGAGGGCAGTTGGGGGTGACAAGGCCTGTAGGGGAGGACAGTTAGCGGTGACCAGGCCGGCAGGGGAGGGCAGTTAGGGGCAAACGGGCCAGCAGGGGAGCAGTTAGGCGTCAATCAGGCTGGCAGGGGAGTGGTTAGGGGGTGATCAGGCTGGCAGGCAGAAGCAGTTAGGGGCAATCAGGCAGGCAGGCAGGCGAGCAGTTGGGAGCCAGCAGTCCTGGATAAAAAAAATGTGAGAGGGAACGGGCAGTTGGACATCCCTTGAGGGGTCCCAGATTGGAGAGGGTGCAGGCTGGGCTGAGGGACACACACACACACACACACACACACACACACACCCTGCATGAATTTTGTGCACTGGGCCTCTAGTCTTTAATAATAAGTAGATTTACTTTGAGAATTTTGCATCTCACCTTTAAATGATTGATCTATCAGTTAGAGCCTCAGCAGGAAATTGAACTAAACCCAGATGACTCCAACTTTAATGAAGGCACTATTCAAGATGTGTAAGCACAGTTAAGGGAACCAAAAATGGAGGATGAGGTGGCCAGACACTAGCAACACCAGGAAGTTAGGACCATGCTTGTCAGAAAGGCAAGGGGGAGGAAATGGAGTTCCCTGATCCCAGTGAGACCCCAAGCCATGGAAAAGGGGCTGCTGACAGAAGCTGCTGAGAAGGAAGCAGCCACTGCCATAAAATAAGAAAATGCAGCCCAGCGGTTGTCGTTTTCGGTCAGGGGGGAGTCTCAGACTCTGAGCTCCAGATCTGGGCGAATCTCTGGGGACTCGGACTCAAACGGGAGAAGCGGGATTGTCTGGCATCGGTTGGAAGGCAGCTTTCGCTCCGAGGTTTGCAGCGGTTCCTGGGGTTCTGAGAAGCAGAGCCTCTGGGAACGGGACTGAG